AAAGAGGAATGAACAAAATGAGGTGGTCAAATACAAAGCGAGACTGGTAGCTCAAGGGTTCTCACAGAGACCCGGAATAGATTTTGAACAAACTTACTCTCCTGTCTTAGATGACACATCGTTCCGTTATCTAATATCCCTGACAGTAAAAATGAATTTAGAAATGCAGTTAATGGATGTTGTGACCGCATATTTCTATGGGTCACTATACACTGACATATATATTAAAGTACCCGAGGGCATCCAAAATCCTTTATGTAAAGGAAATACAAATAAAAATATGTTCAACGTAAAACTACAAAAGTTATTGTATGGCTTAAAACAATCAGGAAGAATGTGGTATTGTCGATTGAGTGAATTCCACTTAAAACAAGGATATGAAAATAAAGATATTAGTCCTTGCATCTTTACAAAGAAATCAACTGATGATTTTTGTATTATATCCATCTATGTAGATGATATAAACATCATAGGGACACGCAAGGATGTCAAGAGGGCAAGCTTGTGTTTAAAAGATGAATTTGAAATGAAAGACTTGGGTAAAACCAAGTTCTGTCTCGGCATGCAGATCGAGCACTCCCTGAATGGATATTCATACACCAATCCAAATACACAGACAAGTTATTGGAGAAATTTTACATGAATAAATCTCATCCACTTAGTACTCCAGTGGTAGTCCGATCACTTGAAGTTGATAAGGACCCGTACAGACCTAAAGAAGATAATGAGGATATTCTAGGACCAGAAGTCCCTTACTTAAGTGTCATTGGAGCATTTCTATATCTTGCCAACTGCACTAGACATGATATTGCATTTTCATAAAACATGCTAGCTCATTTTAGTGCTGCTCCAACCAGAAGGCATTGGAATGGCATAAAACATATCCTTAGATATTTACAAGGTACAAAGGAACTTGGGCTTCTATTTACGAGAGACCAAGACACCACATTAGTGGGATATGCGGATGCTGGTTTTATGTTTGATCCGCATAATGTGCTAGATCTTAGACTGGATATGTGTTTCTTTCAGGAGTTACTGCTATCTCATGGAAATCAGTTAAACAAACATTAGTAGCTACCTCGTCAAACCACTCTGAGATTATTGCTTTATACAAGACCTCCAAAGAATGTGTATGGTTGAGGTCATTAATACACAATATTCAAGACTCGTGTGGAATAATGAATAATGGAAAGATCCCCACTGTCCTGTATGAGGACAATGCAACATGTGTTGCACAAATGAGTAATGGATATGTTAAAGGTAATCTCACCAAACATATTGCACCAAAATTCTTTTATCCATATGAACTCCAGAAGAGTGATGAAATATGAGTCCAAAAGATCCAATGAAGTGAAAATCTGGTAGATTTATTCACTAAGTCCTTACCTACATCTACTTTTGAAAAGTATGCATATAAAATTGGTATGCGTAGATTAGGAAGGCTATTGTCTTCAGGGGGAGCAACAACACCTTAAATATAATGAAATTATTAGTCCAAAAGATTCACTTATTCACTTTGATCTAGAAGATCAAGATATATTATTATGATTTATACAATTATACCTAAACCCAGAAGGTTTACGGTTGTACTCTTTTTCCCTTACTGAGTTTTTTTTTCCACAGGGTTTTCTCAGTGTAAGGTTTTGAATGAGGCAACCAAAGCGACACATGCATTACCCATATGTCGTGTACTCTTTTCTCACATAGATTTTTCCCACAGGGTTTTTCTAGTGAGTTTTTAATGAGGCATGAATATGGTTAAATAATGTCCAAGGGGGAGTGTTACAAAATATTTGAATAATGGGCATTATTACTCTTTAATATCATTGATTAGCCATTAGTGTATTGCATTGTAACTGTTATTCCTTTATATTATATAAAGTTGATTCTCAATAATAAGACGGTTGATTCTTTGAGTCTTTATATTCTCTCTACTTTTATATCTCTGCACTCTCTATTTTATATTATATTGTTCCTGCAAATCCACTAGCTAGGAGCTAACGGGCATCAACATCTTAACAATTACTAGGAAGATTGATTCTATTGTTTGGTTGGTGGAAAACAAAAATTAATAGAAATCTTAATTTCATTGTTTGGTTGTGTTGGAATGGTAAGAATAATGAGTATAAAGACCAATATGCCACTACACAATGATAATGATAATAAAAATAATAGTGATTTTAAAATTAAAATATTATAATTTATATATTACAATATCACAAATTAAAATATTATAATTATATACTTTATTAAATAATATAATAAAAATTGTTACGGAGTATATACAATTTGTAGAGTTAATACCAGTCAAGGTCCCTCGAGTATAGTGGTTCTGCCACCTATGGTTCTAAACTTTCAAATCAACCTTTCGTGATCCTCCAAGTTTCAAAAATGACCTGCCATACTCCTGCCGTTAGTGCTTTCCGTTTTAGCCGTGAAATGCAAGGGCATAATCGAAAATGCTCGGCTAGCGAAAATGGGTGAGAAAAATGTGAAAGGTCGATTATGCCCTCGCATTCCACGGCTGAAACGAAAAACACTAACAACAGGACTATGGTAGATCATTTTTGAAACTTGGAAGATCACAAAGGGTTGATTTGAAAGTTTAGGATCATAGGTGGCGAAACCACTATACCCGAGGGATCTGACTGGTATTAACTCACAATTTGTACTAAGGTAATTAAGAATGTTTTATGAGGGCAAAATAGTACTATCAACTTATCAAGTAATACTTTGTTTCCAAATGTCCATGAAAAATAAAATACCAAGGTAGAACCTTGGAAAACTTTTTCCTCATATCAGAAGAAAACATTTTCCGGTAGAAAAAAGTTTTTCATGAACCAAACGAAGAAAAATTTGATTTTTCTCAAATTTAAGGAAAAAAAGTTTTTCATCCAACCAAATATCCCATAATGGTCAGATGTGTCATCTAACTATATTACGAATTTCAATTCGTTATCTAATTCAAAAACATTGTATTTGGGTTGATGGACAACGTAAATTTATACAATTGAACAAAAACTGACTTGTTTACAGGTCATTTTTGGTTCAATTGAATAAATTTGCATTGTTTAGAAATCTAATTGTAATTTTTTGAGTTTGATGGCTCAATTGCAGATTGGTATGTAGTTTGATAGTTTATTTGACCTTATTCCAAAAAAAAAAAATTAATATACTTAATTGTACAAGTCAAATTCATACCTCTATTCTTTTTATTCTTGGTGACAAATTATACCATAGATCATGACCTACCTTGCATTGTAAATTCTAGTCCAAAATGATATTCAGATTATATGTTTGTAGTTAACATATTATGTGTCTTTAGTTAACATATTATATATCTATGAATAAATTGAATGCACATAATATGTTAACTGCAAACAGATCATTTATTAACATTACAATTAACATATTATGTATATGCAATTAATAAATTATGCGCCTACAATTGAATATTTTGTACCTTCAATTTATTTATAGACACATAATCTGTTAACCAAATGCACATAATCTATTAACTAAAGGTATATAATATGTTAACTAAACACACATAATTTGGATGTATTTTTTATGATGGTCCACAGTGTAAGGTGGGCCTTTTTTTTTTTTGAAACTATGTAAGGTGGACCTTGGTTCGACGAATTTTACTGTGGACCATGGTCTATGTAGCATCATGGACCATGAAGTATATATCATTTTTTTTAATACTATTGACTCTTACAATGTAGTATCTATTCTATACTTTCTCTAAGTACGGCAGCCCAAAGATTTTGATCCTGTGACCTTCCCTCAAGGAAAGCTACAAAGGTGTCATCTGCGCACAAGGTGGCAAGTATATATCATTTTAATTACACTTTAAGTTTCATTTGACAATATTGCTATGTTTTTTTGTTTCATTTTCCCTCCACACTAGTTTCATTATAGCAATACTAAAGTATTATTTTAATTCTACTATAGTTTTATTTGATAATATACATTATTGCTTGAGCTCTATTTTGTTGTTTTATTTTTCACACACACTAGTTTAATTATAGTAATGCTAAAGTATTATTTTAATTGCAACCTTAAAATTATTTAACAATATATGTTATTATATGACTCTGGATTTTATTTTCATTTTTCACGCGCACTAGTTTCATTATAGTAATACTAAAGTATCATTTTTAATTATACTACGGTTTCATTTGACAATAATGTGCTCTGTTTTTTAGTTTCATTTTTCATACACATTACTTTCATTATAGTAACACTAAAATATTATTTTAATTCTACTACAGATTCATTCGACGATCATTGTCCACATAGCAATGGGATGGTCCACTGTATAACAACTGCCTTGGTTCATGGTATAACAATTGATTATTGGTAGGATGGAATATTAGGAAATCAAATTTTTTTCAATTTATTTTGAATTTATTGACTAGTTGAATTGTGTCTCAAAGTTGATATATTTAATTATACCCAAAAAAAAATAAAGGTGCTAACGACATCATAATCTTTTCTATATTATTATTATTATTAGAATTCTAATAATAGTAATATATTTTTGTTGTCAAATTACTGTAGTTTCAATATGCATGTAACTTAATTATATACCATTTGTTTTCAGAAAAAAAAAAATTATATACCATTTTATTAGAAAAATTTATAAAAAAGAGTTAATGACGATTGAGATCTTTTGAATATATTAGCACCGCCACATTTAATTCTAACCATGCTGAAATGACGACTTTATCCTTTCTTTATACGGCCTAAACAGTTAAAACTGATGGAAGTATCACATTTAGTTAAAATTTGAAGATTGAAAGATCGCGCTGATTAATTTAGAAGTTTAGAATTAAACGTAACAAATCATTATACTCGTAGACCCATATGGAATTAACTCCATTATAAAAATTTATTGTTTAATTAAATGCCAATTTAAATGTCCAATATACTGTTCGAATTTAAACTTTACTATATAAATATAATATATTATGCCCTTGAGCTTCAAAAAATTTCAAACACTGAACTTTGGGTCATTGTCCGGTGCCACTGATTGTGACTGAAAGAAGATCCTTTCGAGTTTCGCCGAGTATGCTTTTCATTTCCACAATCCACCTGGCTTAAGCTATTGTAGATTCGGTGAAAGCTGTGGGTTTTCTTAGTGGAAGACACCCTTCTCCTTGTCTCTCTCCAATAATTTGAATTTCCATAGCCAAAACCCTTTGTAAAACTCGGCCTTTTAGTTGCATTGCGGACCTTCTTCTCCAGATCTTTTCAGGTAAATTTACATTCTGAAGGTTTCTCTCAAGTATTTAAGTTGTTGCTTTTCGGTTACTGTTGATTTTATTGCGGTTTGAATGGAGTAGAATTTCTTTTCTTTAATTCGCTATGAAAATGCAGAGAAGTGAGAAAGAAGAACCCAGACACTGTTATATCACTTTTATTCGAGTTTCAAGAAAGGGCGAATTAAATAGTAGAAATGTGGGTTTTTCTTGGGAATTTATTCATGCGGTCACTATTTTTTTTGTTTTTGTTTTTATTTTTGTTTGTGTTTTGTTGCTAGTGCTAACCGTCATTTTCTGCGAAAAGATTTATGAAAATTGTCAATGGTTTTGTACGAGTGGTTTTAAGGATGGAGATTTACTGTTTGTACGAGTGGTTTTAAGGATGGAGATTTACTGTTTATTTAGTTATTGGTCTATCACCTTTGTCTTATGTTGAATAGTTGAGAAAAGGCTGGGGATTATTGTTAGCTGACTGCTATCGCTTCTGCCGAGAATCTATGGTTTTGGTTAAAGAAAATATAACTACGAAATATGAAAATCAAAGCTTTTATAAGATACCTTTAAGATAATCACCAGACGTGTGTTATGGTTACAGTGATACCCTGTTTGTTTCCACAAGAAATGCGAGAACTATTGGATGCAATACTTGTTTTCCTCATCTGAAACACTTTCCGTCTTTGCTATTCTTTTCTCATGTTGTGTGTTGACTAGCTCGTGTTTTTATATGTCCATTAAATCAGAAGGTTGATTGCTTTCGTCATTTGGGTCCTCTGTTAGATCTTTATTGTGCCCTGAAAATGACTAAACGACATCAAATGAAAATACAGTGTAACAAGTTTTGGGTTGTGGATGTGGCTTTAGAGGAAGAGTAGACATCTCTCTTTGTCTTTTACTATCATATATTGATGCTTCTGATTTTCTTTGCGTTCTTTCTCTTGCCTTCTTGACACTTCAAGATTTTTATATCACCATTGCACTGTATTTTCCCTGAGTCTTATTACGAAAAATATCTTGTTGCCTCTGTCACTGATGCAGAGTTCTGAATAGTCAAGTTAGACAGTTTTTATATCTTAGGCATACAAACTTGACTCTTTTTGTCCTATGTTGTTTTTAGATTTCCTTTTTCTTTTCTCCTGATATTTAGAGCTGCAATCTTCAATTGATTTCCACTAATAGGCATTTGGCTTGTGCTAGTAGATAAAATGCCACAGCTACAGCTCGGTGCCCAAACATTTCGAAGTCATGGAACAGAAATTGCGAGGATTCACATGCATGACTGGATTATTCTGTTCCTACTGCTGGTGATAGAAGTAGTTTTAAATGTAATCGAACCATTCCACCGTTTTGTTGGAGCTGACATGATGACGGACCTAAAGTACCCAATGAAAGACAATACCATCCCCGTGTGGGCTGTTCCAGTGAGTTAATCTTCAATAATAATTATACATGGAATACATTTTTTTTTTGTCAGACCATGAGGTGTCCTGAGCAGGCCCTAACTGTAGGAGGTACCTTTAAGCCCGTACCATACTCAGACTAATCCCTGTCCGTACTGGGCCGGTCCAATTAAGGGGCAAAGTGCTGGCCAGATTGGTTGTTCCATACAAGAGGGGGTTTGAACTCCTGACCTCTCTTAAGGGACAAGAGTGCACGGCCACTCACGCCAACCAAGCTGGTTATACATGGAATACATTGATTGACTGGTAGCATGAAGCATGTCTGACTCTGACTGTTAATCTCATAATGTAACCGTTTTTTGCGATGAACAGATTATTGCAATTATATTACCTTTCACTGTGATGCTTGTTTTTTTCTTTCGTGGAAGGAATGTTTATGATCTGCACCAAGCTATTTTAGGTAACTATTATATCTGTCTAAAAGCCACTACTTTAACAAGTACCACAGCAGTTGGTATGTAATGTAGAACATACAACATTATTAAAATTTCCCTCTTTTCAGGTCTTCTGTTTTCTGTACTCATAACTGGAGTTATTACTGATGCAATCAAAGATGGTGTTGGTCGGCCTCGCCCAGACTTCTTCTGGCGTTGCTTTCCTGATGGAAAAGGAGTATGCTTCCATCAATTTCTTCCATTTCTTTGTCAAATTCTCTAATGTTGAAGTAACACCTCTGGCTCTCTATGACATTCAGGTGTTTGATTCTGTAACTGGGAATGTCAAGTGTACTGGATTGAAAAATGTAATCAAAGAAGGACACAAAAGTTTTCCGAGTGGACATACTTCTTGTAAGTATAGCAATCCAATCTTGTTACAGTTGCAGGACTATATTCTTGCCATATCATATGTTTTTAACTTTATATGAAAGTTAAGAACAGAGGTATATATTATTGGGTTTCTTTTCCTTTGATTGTGGAGCATAGAAACTTTAATCGTAATTACTCATTTATTCCATAATCCATAATATTCACACTGATCTAATGGGTTCACAGGGTCATTTGCGGGCCTTGGTTTTCTGTCATGGTACTTATCTGGGAAAATCAAGGCCTTTGATCAACAAGGTCATGTTGCCAAGCTATGCATTGTTGTCCTACCTTTACTGTTTGCAGCATTAGTTGGAGTTTCACGAGTTGATGATTACTGGCACCATTGGCAAGACGTATTTGCTGGAGGCCTTATAGGTCTGTATGATATGGATGAATATCCTTTCTTTTTTTTTTTTGCGATTAATTTGTTGCTTCCTCTAAATATATTGAATTATTGATTGTTTGCAGGGCTCACTGTTGCTTCATTTTGTTACTTGCAATTGTTTCCCCCACCATATGATGTAGCTGGTAACTTTGTTTGCTTTTATTTTTCCATGCATCTACCATCAATCTCTCCTTTTCAGTATGTTATTCACTTATTCTGTATAATAATTCAATTTTGCTGTCAAACTTTTGCTATTTTATAAAATCATAAACTACGTATAGTTTAAAGTTGCATTTTTTTACAATTATTGAGTATGTCTCAAGCACTTTTTCAGCACACTACCAAACATGAACTTTACAATGTTTCTCTGTTGGTAGGAAGATGAAAAACAGTACGTTTCGATAAAGTGATTGAGCTCAAGTCTAATCTCATCAACTAGGAAAGGCTATATGGATGCTTTTTCTCTGTTCTACTCTATAGAGAACCAAATTTGCCATAAAATCCATGGGTGATAAATCACGTTTTGGTTTATTATCATATTTAGTCTCATCACTATAATTAAAACACAATAAGAAAATTGTTGGTGTTGCAAATGATTTACCTTGCATTGAATGCATTATTTGCATACTTTTAAAACGTTTCTGTTGAATGATAAGGAAACCCTAGTCCTATTCGTAGTAGAAGTAGGCTTAGTTTTGTATTCTTATTGAACGTGTATTTAGCCTAACATTCGTATGACTATAGGATCTCTATATAGTTCAATACACAAAAACTAGAGTCAGAGATACTATCTATTGTAATATTTTATTATAATTCTTTTCTTTCTTGCATTGGTTTCTCACAATTTTTGCTTCCACTTAACTACTGAGTGGTGGCTATCCACCACCCTCCAATCCTTTCAGTCTCCTCAATTTCAACTCAAATATGTGATTATATATATATATATATCTGCAAAGTAATCTGAAATAATAAGAGAGTTAAATGTGCCTTTTATTGTTATTATATCCAGGTTGGATGCCACATTTCCATATAACAAGGATGGGGGATTCACGAAATGGAACACAGCCACCAATGTACGACCAAAGCAGTAGTCTTACTGCAAGGCAAACTGAACTTGAGAACGTATATGCCCGGTCTCAGCATGGGTTGGCAATAACAGAATTCAATGTCCCCGACTCGAGCCCCATCTTGAGTGATGTGGAGAGTGGAAGAAGATATTAATGCCCATGTTCACTGTATAGCTCCCAATAGATAGCTCTTCCCTCTGCAACTATTCTGACTCGGAAAATTCTATGATAGGTAAACTAGTCTGCTGCCTTTTTACATGCGACGGCTGTAAATGAAGCATGGATTATGTTTTACTAGACAGTGAGTGACAGAACTAAGGTAGTAGCCGTGATCTTTTGTGGGAATAGTTTCTTGGTTCTGCATTGTTTTTTTTTTTTTTTTTGGTTTTTTCCTGGATTGGAACAGAATTGTCTTGATTAGTTCTTTTTGAAACTGTCATGGAATTGGCCATTTGGTGTTGTGGCTAAACAGGGTTGTTCTGGTTCTGTGGTGCTTGCTTTGTCAATCTTTTAAGTTATTTTTTTTTTTTTTTTTAGTGAAGGCTTTGATATAGGTCATTCAACTAGGCTATAATGTATATGGGTCCAACTAATCAATTAGCTAATCTAACTCATGACCTTTGTAGATTCATATGTTCTCTTATATTTTCCAGGTGGGATTTTTAATATGAAGAAACTATGGAGTTAGGTGGATCTTACACCAACTAAGCATGATTTACACCTAAATTAGGCATCTCTCTGATACAATCTTAGTGTTATTGGCTGGTTCAAACTTTGTTAAAAAGGAGTCCATCTCTTCTCTATCTTATATTTTCATTTTTTGTTAATTTTCTGCTATTTGAAATAAATAAATAAATAAATTTCAGAATAACACGTAATGAAATTTGTTATCTAGCCCCAACCAAGAAATGCTAACGAGAACAAGACAGTTGTTCCTACTGAATATACTAGTTTGACTTTTTCTTACTAATAGCTTAGTTTCACAATTGATCTTTGGGTGAAATGGTTAAGGAGGGTTCAAGTTTCATTACAAGTAATTAGGCTATCATTTTAGTCTCATCCTTATTGTTCTAACTGTTCTAATTTTTCCTTATAATTAGTACATTGATGTATTCATATGGGTAACTAGTGTTCAAAACTGAATTCAGATCGGTAGTGGACAACTATGGGTAACACATGTTGGTTTACCTCTTGGGTCCTTGTCGGTTAAGGTCACAAAGTGAGTTTGACTCAGAGCACATATATGAGTAGAGGTTGTGAGCTTTTCAATAGTTATTAATTTATCTTTTTGGGTTCTTTGTTTGTTAGGATTACAAAGCGAGTTTGACCCAAAACACACATTCAAGTAACAAAAGTGAATTTGACATAGAGCGTACATTCGGGTAGCAGTTATAAACTTTCTCGTAGAGAAAATCAAAGATTAAAAGTGGACAATATCTAACAAATTGTGATAATATAGAACATGGAGTTTGGACTAAATAAGTTCATGCACTAATACCATAAAATAGTAGGAATGGCCGGCAAGTGAAGTGCTTCAGCATTTTGCTTGGTCAAAAGAGGGAATATTGACTAAAATATTATTGCTTAAATATGACTAATTCTACCAAGTGACCAGTCACTCCATACCAATAAACAAAAGTCACAATTTTGACTTCGTCATCATTGTCATGCTAAAAACCATTATATATGGCTTCTCTCTTTTTATTTTTTTTTTATTTTTATTTATTTTTTTTTTTTTTGGTTTCTTACCAAGATAGACAATAATTTCATCGTTTTTACTTTTTATGTTTAGGATAAATTAGCATTTTTCAACACTACCAAGTATATTTTAAGATATATACAAGTACACGCTTGACCTGTGAATGTATAGGCAAAACTACAAATGCATCTGATGATATGTAAAGTGCACTCAAGAAGATTGTTACTTGTAGATATCAAAGAATGCATTTGATAGTGTTGCAGAGTGCAATCAAAGTTTGAGATAATGATCAAAATGTGATTTTTTCTCTACTTTAGAGCTATTGATCTTCCTAGACTGATAGATAAGATTGCGAGATGATGTCTTAAAAAAATTATAATGTATATATTCAAGTCAAGTCATGCCACTAAATTAAAATATATATTTGGTCTATTCTAGGAGTTCTATATAAAGGCTAAAGTCTCCATTCTGTTACTTAAAGCACACAACAACACACCCCCCAATCAAGAGTCTCTAAATGAATATTATTCCCCAAACATATCTTGATGGCCTCAAGAGGTATTTGAGGAGGAGAAAGTACCAAAAGTTGGATGGTCACACTAGCAAGAAGAGAAAGTTGAGGATCATTAGGCTTGGATATCATGTAAATCGAAGGCGCGGTTTGAAGGTGAAAGAACAAGTTGCTCCAAAGGAGAAGATGGTTACAACTCCATCTAAGTTGGTGGCAAAGTTTCACAGGGCTTATATAAGTGCCATGATTAGTTTGGATGTTGCCATTTTTGGCAAGAAAAAAGTGTTGGCACGATCGGCTGCTAACACCGTGAAGGTGTCAACTCTTCCGAGTAAAGAAGTGGTTGATGGAAGAGTGATTATAGAAGTTTACAAGAGAATGATCTCAGCTCATTAGTTGCCAAGACATGCATGTCATGAAACATGATATTTTTCTTTTCTATTTCCCACACTTTTTAGTTAATTTGTAGATCAAAGTTTAAGTTTTAAAATTTTAATAACTTTTTTTTAGTGTTTGTGGTGAGTACCTTACTCCGTTAGTAACATGTATTATTCACAAGAAATTCAAGTATAGGGTAATAACATTTTCTACTTTGTATATATTTTAATCTTCGTTCCAAGTTTTGTAAATAGAAATTTAAGGGTAATAATATGTAAATGTTATATTATGCAATATGTGTTGGCATAATCTTTTGATAAATACGTTTAAGTTGTAGCATATAGGTTTTAAGAGTCTATAGAACAATCTACATACTACAATATATAGGACATCTTATTTGGACTATGTTAGGACAACGACTTTTACAGTGCTAATGTAAGTCTACACGTCAGATTATCAAGAAGAGATTTTTTTTTTTTTTTTTTTTTTTTGTTAGAGGAAGTTTTCTTTTAAGGCAATCTGATTGGCCAACTCTCTACACGCCCAAACCTATCTCAAAGTGCAAGGAGAGAAAGTCTAGAGACCCAAACCCATTAGTAGCAAAATTAATAGGGAACCTATCGGCTTATGAAGTAGAGATAGTTGTTGATAACCTTTCAATGAAGAAAGGGAAGGCAGTTGCTTTTGTGGCTAATAAAGAACAGATCAGAATTCTGAGTCTGATGATGATGCAGACGATGAAGCAGTAGTGGATCTTCTTACCAACAATTTTTCCAAAATTCATTGAGGCAGCTGAGTATGAGTCAAGAGTCATCTAATATAATGATGAAGAATTCATAGATATGAAGTTGGAAGAACAATATGCAAGGCTTTTCAAGAAATGAGAAGCTACCATAAAGGCTAACCAGATCTAAATTTATGTACCCACAAGGGCTTAGTTCAATGGTTTAGTGGACAGTATTTGATAGAAAAGACCAAGGTTTGATCTTTGGCGGTGGCAGTGTGAGAATTATGTCTACAGTTGGCAGATTCCTTTGAGTCACCGACGGAACGTGTGGGGGGCCCTTAGGGTTCTTTTTGGGAGAAGATCTAGGCTCATCTAATTTGTGAGGGATTAGCTTGAGAAGAAATTTTTTTTGATACATTTGAGGAATTAGTTTTAAAAAAATAAAAAGGAATTATGTCTAAAGTTGGCAGATTCCTTTGAGTCACCGACGGAACGTGTGTGGGGGGCTCTTAGGGTTCCTTTTGGGAGAAGATTTAAGCTGATCTAATTTGTGAGGGATTAGCTTGAGAAGAAATTTTTTTTGATACATTTGAGGAATTAGTTTTTTTTTTTTTTTTTTTTTTTTTAAAAAAGGCTGATCTAATTTGTGAGGGATTAGCTCAAGAAGAAAATTTGACTTGGGAACTGAAGGATTTGAAGAAACAAGTAAAGATGATGATGCTACATCGACATTATTGAATCAAATATTAGATATGAATCAATGATTGCAATTTGCAAGATCCATTATTAAAATTGATGATAATTGAACTTTATATAGCATTTCAAATTTATTTTTTTTGTGGGCAAAAAAAAAGTATGAGTCCATATCTTTAAACATTATTTATGAGATGATAGGTATAAATTTTTGTAATGGAGTTAGGCTAGATAGAGTTGTAATGGAAGAATATTTAATTTTGTGTAAGAGTTACATATAAAAATTTCATTTTTTTTTGGAGAAGAAAGAATGAAATAATAGAAAAGAGTTAATTTCAGCGGAGGTCCCTAAATTTTTGTGGTAATTTTAAATTTAGTTTTAGACTATCGTTTTATCATTTGACACTATCATATTTTACACTTTTGGTCTTTCCGATAACTTTTCAAGTGAAACCCTTTTTCAGACAATGGTATTTTTTGTCTTTTCAATTTTTTTTTAAAAATTTTTCTAATGAGTTAATTCCAATGGAGGTCCCTTGTCTTTGGTGACAATTTCAAATTCAATTTCAAATAATAGTTTTTAGCATTTAACACCCAAAACTATCATATTTTAGACACATTTAGTCGTTCCAATGATTTTCTTTGGCGAAATCCTATTTAGGAAATGGTATTTTTCAATGACAAAGAAGAGATTTTTTTTTTCCTTTTTTTTTTTTTTTTTTGCTCTACAACTAAAGTAGATGATTCACAGAATCATGGACTAAAACAATAGCGGTTAGACTGAAGTCGATCGGGTGACGACATCCTAAGCTTTCCAACTATGTTGCAAAATGATTCTCCCGCACCCGGAGGTCTTCACGTATTCAATATCGCCATTGACAAATGACAATTTGGGGTCAAGTTGAAGGAGATGAAGTCAAGAGCAAGGTGAAAGAGATAGTGCAAACTACGGCTGAAGAGACGAAAATCGAGAAAACTATGGATTTCATTTTCAAAGCATTTTCAAAACATAAAAAATTTCATAGTTTTGTCAAAAAAAGAAAAAATCATAGTATAATATGACCGCAATTTATATCGTGGAACATGGTCCACAGTGCACTGTGAACCCTAGTCTAATACATAGATTTTGACTTCGCAACGTACAGAATTCATATCTATAATGTACAGAATTTATGTTCATAATACGCATACACATAAACACGATATAATGAAGTTAAATAAACACTTAACATAATACACATAATTTATATTCATAATGTACAAAATTCATGTTCATTATATCATGTTTATGTGTATGTGTATTATGAACATAAATTCTGTATATTATGAATATGAATTCTGTACATTATGAAGTCAAATTATGTGTACAGAATTCATGTTCATTATATCATGTTTATGTGTATGTGTATTATGAACATAAATTCTGTACATTATGAATATGAATTCTGTACATTATGAAGT